TCAGTATTGTTAAGTATATTCACACGGTTGCAAAACCAATCTCCTGAAGTTTTTCATAACTTTGTATTCATTAAGCAAATCCCCCTTTACCAGTCCCTTATCCCCTGGAAACCCCCATTGTACTTTCTTTGAATTTGGCTACTTTAGAGATCTCATCTAGGTGAAACACAGCATTTGTCTTTTTTGTGTGTGGCTTATTTCACATAGCAAAATATCCTCAAGTTTCACACTTGTTGGCATGTGTCAGAATCTCTTCCCTTTCAAAGGCTAAATAATATTCCATTGTATGTATATTCTGCATTTTGTTTACTCACTCATCTATTGGTGGACATTTAGGTTACTTCCACTTTTCTGGTTTCATTTTGCAGTACCAGGGATTTAACCCAGGGCCTTTACCTTGAGTTCCATCCCCAGTCTCAGCCTCCCAGCATTCCAGAATCACAGGTTCGCACCACCATGTCTGGCTTTTTTTGGGTTTTCTGAATCAGTGTCTTCGTCTGTAGTTCAGGTGACCCTGGGCTCAATATGTAGTCCAGGCTGGCCTGAAACTCAAACTCCTCCTGTCTCAGCCTCTCAAGAAGCTGGAAATACAGGTGCACACCAGCACACTCAGCCTGCTTATCTTGTTTTAATCTCTTACAATGAGAGTATAGTCATGTACTGTTTGCATATTTTCCAAGACACAGAGGAACAAAACAGAATTAACCATTGTGAAGTGGGGCATGGGAGCATAAAGGGGTCAGGCAAACTCAATACGTGGGGGTGTCCCTGGGCGGGGCCTGTGTGTATTCAACAAGTGACATCTCAGACTTGCTCAGATCTCCTGAGCAGCCAGAAGGGACCTGCATGCCAGACTAGGGGTTCCTTTAGGTAGATGTGAGGTCAGAAAATCAAACTGAATCATCATTCAAATATTTTTTCCAGTTTTTTTTTTGTCTCTGTACCTTTTATTCCCACAATTCCCCTTACTCAATAAATCCTTTTTATTGGCCAACTTTCCTTACCTGGCAAATGAATTTAACTCATATTTCAAATGTTTTCTGCTCCTTGATACCCTTTTTATATTCCATAAAGCTCCCCAACTAAACTGACTTCTTCCATACCTGAAAACTCACAGAACTCCACTAGCCAGAATTTAAATTAGAACATGTTATGGCTTGTATCTGGATGCCCCCCAAAGTCTCATGTGATCATAGGTGGGAAGTTTCGAAGGTGGCTGTATTAGGGTGTGTGAACGTGGATTAAGGGTGTGATGCTGGGATTAAGGGGGTGGCTTATGGAAACCCTATCCTGGGTGTGCGTGGTGCCAGCCAATAGCCTGGGTGGAATATAAAAGGAGGGAGATAAGGCAGGCTTGCTGTTTGCTGCCTTCTGCCTGCCCTCCCCCTGCACCATAAGCTGTTTCTCCCGTGACGCCCCTCTGCCATGCCACCCTGCTTTGGAGCTAGCCAACTATGTACTGAAACCTCTACAAAGTGTGAGCTACAATAAACCTTTCCTCCTTTAAGAAAAAAAAAAGTTTTCTTTCTTTTCAATGGTAAAATTTAAATGCTATTCTATAGTCGCTCTCCAGTCTTCAGCCCAAATCAGTTCTTTGATCTGAACTTCTAGTCTTTTAGTATCCATACTGAGATTACATCATGCTACTACTTTTTAAAAAAGAAAAAACTGACTTTGATTTAAAAGATATTTCTTCCGGGCTGGGGATGTAGCTCAGTGGTGAAGCACATGCCTAGCAAGTGCAAACTGCTGAGTTCAATCCGTGGTGGTGGTGGTGGGGAGGGCAGGAACATAAAAGACATTTTTTCCAAGTATACTTGATGTGGATTGAATTATTATTTGAATTGCGGACTCCCATGGTACTGCACTAATGGTAGATGATTAGTGTGGTCTTCACAAACTGCTACAAAATTTTTCTAATGTTTCATTGGATCAATTACAAATAAGAAAAACTAACATTTATTGAGGTCAACTAAGTATGAGGTCTAAGTCTTTTATGTATATTCTCATTTAATCTCCCTTAGAACTCATTGAGAATGATTATCTACATTTTGCACAGGACGAATCGAGTCCTACAGAACTTAACACATGCCTAAAATCACTTTGCTAGTTGTAATGCCAGAATTTAAGTCACGAATTCTGAATCTATATCACATCTTAATGGTGAGCTCCTAGCCTTCAAAATGTAGTTTACATTTTAATATCATCTCCATAGAAATTGTTTTGTCCTTAAAACTGTATTCCTTTTTTTTAAACAAATGGGGAAAGATGCTCAGAGACAAAGGAACTTTTGAGGTTACAAGTAGCCAAAATGTATTTTAAATACTTGTCTTCTGCTCAAGTCTTTATGTCTCCTATATATAATGCTCAGTATGCTTCTGTGATTAGTACAGAATAACTCTATACACATATTTTTGGTAATAGGTTTGTTTTTTTTTTTTTGGTACCAGGCATTGAACTCAGGACGTTGCCCTTGCAAGGCAGGCAGTGGAACCACTAAGCTAAATCCCTGGCTAGATTTCTTGAAATATAACTCACAGACCATGCAATTCATCCATTTTAAAAAGCGTAGTTTCACATACATAGAATCATGCAATTTGTATTATTTGGGATCTGGTTTTTTTCACTTAGCATAATGTCTTCAAGGTTTGTCTCTGTTGTAGCATTTATCAGAATGTCATTTCTTTTCAAGGCTGAATATTCCATTGCATGAATGTACCACTTTGTTTATCCATTCATCAGTTGATGTTAGGGTTGTTTCTATCTTTTGGAAAGTATGAATCATGCTATTTCAAAGTTACTTTCCCATAGAATATAATTTTTAGGGCTGGGGATTTAGCTTAGTGGTTCTGTCACCTGCCTTGCAAGTGCAAGGACCCGAGTTCGATCCCCTGTACCAAAAAAAAAAAAAAGAACATAATTTTTAAATGATGACATAAAATGCTTTCCCCTCTAGTTCTAACTTCCAACTAAAATTCTCATTAATATGCCTGCAAATTGATAAACAGCTTGACAAAAGGATTTGGATAAATTAAAAAGTGAAAAAATTACTATGATTGTGTTAATTATAAAACACCAATGTCAGGGAATTGGTAGCAGTACAAGGCATCCTCCAATTGAATAGCGCATGTCATCCAGTCTATCCTTAAAGTGCATTTCATAGCTTATTTGGGAGAGATCCAACTGTTCTAACTATAAACTCAATGAGCTGAGTTAAAGCATGGTAGTAGAAAATGGTGTAAATTTTCACTGAATTATTACAATGTGGCCCACATTTAGCAGAAGATATTTCTGTTGTGATAATTACATTAAACATGCCAATGTAAGGGCTCAGTGGTTCTGCTGCCTGCCTCCCAAGCACAAGGTGCTGCGTTCGATCCTCTGCACCAAAAAAAAAAAAAAAAA